AAACACAAACCCGACAATGAAGCTGGTCTTGGCGTAATGCTCGGCTTGGCGACATTAGCTAACAAAGGAGCAGGGGATGTATTACACAACATAGAACCAACATTACTATTATTATGATGGGTGTTGGTGGTATTGGTAGCAGACGGTAATGGAGGTGGTAAGGTGGCATAACAACATTCAATGAGGCTGAAGAAGACGAGACTGAATTTAATGCAGGTTGTGGACATGATGATGATGATGATGTTGGTGATGATGCCTTAAACGCATGAGCTGTCAAAGGTGTTTTAGAATAAATATGAGAATTTGGTTGGTGGCTATTTAAAGTATGTTTCAATGAATCATGATTGTTGGGAGTTGTTGTTATTAATGATGGAGATGATGAATTGTGATTATTGTTATTGCTATTTATATTATTATTATTACTATGGCTAGCCAATGATGATGATGAAGAAGATGTTGATGATGAGGATGTTGTTGATGAAACAGTAACTGAAGGTGAAGATGATGATAGTGATGTTTCCAGTGGTTTTGTTTATTGATAATAGTAGAGGAATTACAATTAATACTGTTGTTTATATTGTGATGTTGTTGTTGATGTTGTTGCAGTTTTTGTTGTTGGCTAATAGAAGTAACTAATTGTTTTTGTTGCTGCTGCTGCTGTTGCAGTTGTTCAATTTCTTGTTGCTTTTTAAGCTTTTCCTTTTGCTTTAATATTTTAGCCTCTAAATCACTTTTAAAATCTAATTTCGGCGGAGTTTGTAATAATTTCGCGCTTTTACTATTATTATTGCTGTTGTTGTTGTTGTTGATTTCCATTTGAGCCGTTGAAATTCCCTGAAACACCGTAAGACTCGGTGGTTTCGGTGGTAATTTTTTACGTATTATGGTCTCACTACTATTAGAACTACAACTATTAACTGAAGGTGTCGATGAAGGCGACGACGCTGATGATGTTGGTGTCGCTATTGTTGCTGCTACAACATTAACATTATCACCATTATGTAAATTGGTTATTAATTTTTTTTCAGTTTATCAATTGTTTTACAAACACAGTGGGACTCGAGCAGAAAAAGTGATTTAAATGTTAGAAAGAAGTTTTTTGTAAAGAAATTCAATAAATTTTGAAAATAATTTTAAATTTTTTCAATTCGAAATTGGAAAATGTAGGAAATTGACCTTTAATATAAATAGAATTATATTTTTATAAATCCTTATGATTTGGAGATAATTTTAGCAGCTTTATTCCAAAACTACATTCAAAAATACTTTAAAATTCTTGAAAATTTAAAATAATTTAAATAATTTGTTCCATTCAATTCGATATTGAAAAAAATATAAGAAATTGTTTGAAAATAAAACTAAAATTTATATATTTTTGATGAATTTATGGGATTATTTTAGAAATTTTAAACTCAAATTTTCGAAAATATCTTAACAAGCTTCATTTAAATTTCCAATCATTTTTAGTTTTTTATAAAAGTTTCTTAAAATTTAGTTCGAATACTAATATACTAATAATCCTTGCTTAAGTCCCACTGTACTGTACTGTATGTAAGTATACCACACTATTATTTTCAATTAATTGTTTTTTTTTCATACCTTTTGTTGTTGCCGCTGCTGTGGGAGAACTATTCAATAATTGTAATTGTTCACTAGATGCTCGGAATGATGAAAGTCTCTGTTTTGCAGGTGCCACCGTAGCAATATGCTGATGCATGGAATGATCGGACGTACCGTTGGGTGATGTGGGAGAGGAGGTATCCGTTAGATTATCGGGTAATTGCTGTAGCTCTCTCATTTCCTGAGTATATTGAGAGTGTTGTGCTGGTTTCGTTCGTAACATAACAATTTCGGAATTTTGTTTACAATAATCAATATCCGGTGTAATGGGTGGTTGATGATCGTATATTACAACTACATTACTACCATTATCACTCATATTGTCACCGTACAGGGCTTGTCTTTGTAGCGATAAGGTATCGGATCTATTGTCATCATAGCACTGAGAGGCTGAGGATGAGGCGGCAAAGTGTGCAAATGTGGGATTTTCATAACCATCTCCAGCACAGCCCCCCGTTATGGAACTAGTTTCGCTAATATAACAACGACTTAATTCTGAATCACTGTTAAATGCTCCACCAGATAAAGCTTTTAAATTGGTCTTCAAAAGACCACCAATAAGTTCATTACCATTGCCGCCGCATCCACCTCCTACTCCTACTCCTCCACCACCCATACCAGTTTGACTAGTTAGGGATCTTGTATCAGCATTACAATCTTCCGAAGTGGTATCGGAAATATCTGTACCACAACCGCTGCTATTGGTTTGATTACTAGCCGTACAAAATCCTTCTCCTGTTGCGTTTGCTGCAAGTGCTGCTGTTGGGTAGTCTCACATATAATCGTGGTGGTATTATCATCCGTTATTATTGTCATGGTTTCATTGGATATGTAGGAATCAATACCATCATATAAATTTTTAACATTCTTGTGATGTTCCTTATGCTGTTTGGAGGCATCGATTTCGCGTTGAAAAGAATCTAATTCGCCAATTAAATTATTTAATTCTTGTAAAGAATCTTCGAAACATTTGTCTAGAAAATTAGGTGTGTGGGTGTGATATTTTTTTTTGGGGGGTAAAGTTGTGTATACAGGAGGGAAATTGTTGAATGTTTTTTTATAAAAACAAAATATAATGGTAGTTGGTGCATTTATAAAAAAGGGGGTTTATTTGTTTGTTGTTGTTTCAATATATGGTGCCATTTTTATGTACATGGTGTGTAGTAATTAATTTTATTAAAATTGTATTTGTTGGTTTTAGGTTATGGTTGAAAAATTGCGTTTTTTTTCAGGATATTTTTTATAAATGTTGTTGTGTAATAGTTTTTTGTTTGTTTTTAAAGTTGATTTTGATTTTGTTGTATATAGTATTTAACAAAAACAAAACAATTTTTTTGGACGGGTTGGGGAAGAAAAATAAAAGAACAAAAAACGAAAAAAAGTTTTAGTAAAAAACATAAAGAACAGAAAATAGTCAATTTATATAAATCAAAGACAACAAAAACTGGGACAAATACAATTTTGTTAAATAAAAACTCTCAACATAATTTTTGTGTGTACTATGTTACAACAGTCGACAATATTTGGTAAGTAGAACACATGTAAGAGGAAAAAAAAACAGAAACTAAAAAGGGAATATACACTACAACTGCCCTAAGCGATCGATACATTTTCAACTTATTTATCTTTTATGTAAACAATAGCAAAATTAAGGTAAATTATCGATCATCCTTTAAAAAATCTTGACAAATGCGAAAAAATCTATGGACTAGCCTATAGACTAGTCTATGGGCTAGTTTATTGACCAGTGTATGGATAAATCTATTGACTAGTCTATGGACCAGTATATTTACTAGTTTGTGGACCTGTTTAAAGATTAGTCTATTGTCTGGAATATGGACTAGTCTATAGACAAGACAATAGACTCCACTATAGACTAAACTGCAGCTAGACAATATATACGAATATAGACCTGACTAGAGTTAAGACTATAGACTAGACTATAGACTAGAATATAGACTAGACCATAGATTACACTATAGACTAGAATATAGACTAGACTATAGATTACACTATAGACTATTATTACACTAGGACTATAGACTAAACTATAGACTAGACTATAGACTAGACTATAGACTAGACTATAGACCAGACTATAGACTAGACTATAGACTAGACTATAGACTAGACTATAGACTAGACTATAGACTAGACTATAGACTAGACTATAGACTAGACTATAGACTAGACTATAGACTAGACTATAGACTAGACTATAGACTAGACTATAGACTAGACTATAGACTAGACTATAGACTAGACTATAGACTAGACTATAGACTAGACCATAGACTAGACTATAGACTAGACTATAGACTAGACCATAGACTAGACTATAGACTAGACTATAGACTAGACCATAGACTATAGACTAGACTATAGACTAGACTATAGACTAGACTGTAGACTATAGACTAACTATAGACTAGACTATAGACTAAACTATAGACTAGACTATAGACTAGACTATAGACTAGACTATAGACTAGACTATAGACTAGACTATAGACTAGACTATAGACTAGACTATAGACTAGACTATAGACTAGACTATAGACTAGACTATAGACTAGACTATAGACTAGACTATAGACTAGACTATAGACTAGACTAGACTATACTAGACTAGACTATAGACTAGACTATAGACTAGACTATAGACTAGACTATAGACTAGACTATAGACTAGACTATAGACTAGACTATAGACTAGACTATAGACTAGACTATAGACTAGACTATAGACTAGACTATAGACTAGACTATAGACTAGACTATAGACTAGACTATAGACTAGACTAGACTAGACTAGACTAGACTATAGACTAGACTATAGACTAGACTATAGACTAGACTATAGACTAGACTATAGACTAGACTATAGACTAGACTATAGACTAGACTATAGACTAGACTAGACTATAGACTAGACTATAGACTAGACTATAGACTAGACTATAGACTAGACTATAGACTAGACTATAGACTAGACTATAGACTAGACTATAGACTAGACTATAGACTAGACTATAGACTAGACTATAGACTAAGACTAGACTATAGACTAGACTATAGACTAGACTATAGACTAGACTATAGACTAGACTATAGACTAGACTATAGACTAGACTATAGACTAGACTAGACTATAGACTATACTAGACTAGACTATAGACTAGACTATAGACTAGACTATAGACTAGACTATAGACTAGACTATAGACTAGACTATAGACTAGACTATAGACTAGACTATAGACTAGACTATAGACTAGACTATAGACTAGACTATAGACTAGACTATAGACTAGACTATAGACTAGACTATAGACTAGACTATAGACTAGACTATAGACTAGACTATAGACTAGACTATAGACTAGACTATAGACTAGACTATAGACTAGACTATAGACTAGACTATAGACTACTATAGACTAGACTATGACTAGACTATAGACTAGACTATAGAACTAGACTATAGACTAGACTATAGACTAGACTATAGACCTAGACTATAGACTAGACTATAGACTAGACCTATAGACTAGACTATAGACTAGACGATAGACTAGACTATAGACTAGACTATAGACTAGCTATAGACTAGACTATAGACTAGACTATAGACTAGACTATAGACTAGACTATAGACTAGACTATAGACTAGAATAGACTAGACTTAGACTAGACTATAGACTAGACGATAGACTAGACTATAGACTAGACTAGAGACTAGACTATAGACTAGACTATAGACTGACTATAGACTAGACTATAGACTTAGACTATAAAGACTAGACTACTATAGACTAGACTATAGACTAGACTATAGACTAGACTATAGACTAGACTATAGACTAGACTATAGACTAGACTATAGACTAGACTATAGACTAGACTATAGACTAGACTATAGACTAGACTATAGACTAGACTATAGACTAGACATCTAGACTAGACTATAGACTAGACTATAGACTAGACTATAGACTAGACTATAGACTAGACTAGACTATAGACTAGACTAGACTATAGACTAGACTAGACTATAGACTAGACTATAGACTAGACTATAGACTAGACTATAGACTAGACTATAGACTAGACTATAGACTAGACTATAGACTAGACTAGACTAGACTAGACTATAGACTAGACTATAGACTAGACTATAGACTGGACTATAGACTAGACTATAGACTAGACTATAGACTATACTATAGACTAGACTACAGACTAGACTATAGACTAGACTACAGACTAGACTATAGACTAGACTATAGACTAGACTATAGACTAGACTATAGACTAGACTATAGACTACTATAGACTATAGACTAGACTATAAACTAGACTATAGACTAGACTATAGACTAGACTATAGACTAGACTATAGACTAGACTATAGACTATACTATAGACTAGACTGTAGACTATAGACTAGACTATAGACTAGACTATAGACTAGACTATAGACTAGACTATAGACTAGACTATGGACTAGACTATAGACTAGACTATAGACTAGACTATAGACTAGACTATAGACTAGACTATAGACTAGACAGTAGACTAGACTATAGACTAGACTATAGACTAGGACTATAGACTAGACTATAGACTAGACTATAGACTAGACTATAGACTAGACTATAGACTAGACTATAGACTAGACTATAGACTATACTATAGACTATAGACTAGACTAGACTATACTATACTAGACTAGACTATAGACTATACTATAGACTATACTATAGACTAGACTATAGACTAGACTATAGACTAGACTATAGACCTAGACTAGACTATAGACTACTAGACTAGACTATAGACTAGACCATAGACTAGACCATAGACTAGACCATAGACTAGACTATAGACTAAACTATAGACTAGACTAAATATATACTATAGACCTGACTGATATATAGACTATAGACCTGACTGAAATATATACTATAGAGTTTAGACTATAGACTAGAGTATAGACTAGACTACAGATTAGACTACAGACTAGTCTATAGTTTAACACAGATTAGACTGTCCTGTGATAAAGTGTTTAGGTGAAGAAAAAAATTTTCAAATAATAAAGATTGTCGACTAGTGTTTGTTTTAAATAAAAAACAATATAAAATATAATATGCAATAAAAATTCGGGAATAAAATAGATCGGAACATATATATTTATATATAAATACTTAAAAAATAATGGGTATTGTTTATAAAATATGGATATATGGATGAAATTTTTGTTGTCATTTAAAATTTTATTTAAATAATAAAATTATTCTATTCAACTTCTGAACTTTCATTATCTTAAAAAAAGTCGTAAGTATTTTTAAGCGGAACAGAATTTAGTAAGCTCTCTTGGAATTTATTATACCATTCTTTACAGAGATGTAAAAATAAGCACTTAATACTCCTTTCGATGTGTTTATAATGTTTTTCCATTGGAAAAACTTTGTTAGTATTTGGCTTAGAAATAGATTAGACTTTTAAGTCCATGAACCTATGGAAAATGTTCGAGTCAAGAAAACTTTGTTGAATCAAAAAATTTACTTTAAAAAACTTTTACAGGTTCCACACGATACTTCATATATTAATAAACAAAGTTTTAACTGACATCAAAATTTTCCCGATAATAAAAATGTATTTTACATAATAATAGGGATGCTTTTTTTCATAACATTTATATATAAAAGGATATCGTGTATCATATTTCTAACTTGCTTTAATAATAAAAATATATACCAAAAGAAAAAGAAAGAAGGTGGGGTCTGGTTCCAGTAAAAAATATGTGCAATTGTACTTACCGACTTCCTGAGGATCTATAGACTGTGATTGTTGCTGCTGCTGTTGGTGTTGACTACTAGTGCGTGTACCATAAATGCCTGCATTAGTGCTGTTGTCAATATTTGCTGCTGCAGCTACACTATTGCGTGACAGATTAGAAGAAGCAATAGCCGGTGGGGTTGGCGTACTTTGACAGCAGCAGCTTGTTTCTCAAACATTGAGGCTTTTTGCAAAACCGAAGCTCGAGAACGTTCATCATTCTCAACGACATTACCGGAAGGAATCTGCATCGTTATTTGAATTAGAAATTTCTGGATTATTAACAGAGGATGATGAACAAACAATATTCGATTCATTAGTCTGAGAGGTTAAGGATGATGGCGCTACAGTACCATTACCTTCCGATTCGGTTATTTTTAAAATATCACTAGCTTGTGAGGAATTGGCGCTTTGGGGAGGTGTAGGTGAACAGATATTGTACATGAAATTATTACCCGAATTATTGCCACCACCAGCAGCTCCACTTGTTGTTAGACCACTGCTAGTAATACTAGCACCACTGGGTGTGCCGGCAGCGGTTGAAGATGGTGAATTGGTCAACAGAGGTGAATAATGATTCTGGGGGGTTGAACTGCCGCTGGAGGCAGAGGGAGTTTGACCGATTGGTGGTGTGGCCACGGTCGATTCAATGGATGGATGAGAGTGTAACGATGGTGTATTTGAGTTAGAGGAATGAGAACGTGTTGGTTGTTGTTGTTGTTGATGTGATGGTGGTGTAGTTTGAACATGTTGTTGTTGTTGCTGTTGGTGTGGCGATTGATTGTGATGCATTGAAGCGTTCGAATCATTAGAGTGTATGGATGATATGGAATCTATAGAATGTTGTTGTTGCAACACTTGTTGCTGTTGATGTATTGTTGGTGACTGTTGTTGTTGTTGCTGTTGCTGCTGTTGTTGATTAGTAATTTTCATAGCCGCCATATTGGCCAATTCAGACATATTTACATATGTAGGCGGGGATGTTTGCTGTTGATTTGGCTGCTGTTGCTGCTGTAGCAATAGCTGTTGCTGTTGTTGATGCTGTTGCTGAGCAGATGTGCTGATAGCTCTACTTGCATTTAATTTATTATGGATTTGATTTTCGATTTTTTAATTAAGTTAACACAAGCATGCAGTTTTTATTTTTATTTTTTTTAATTAAAACAAAGACAACACAATATTTTATATTTTTAATTAAAAGAAAGAAAAAACAATATTTAAATATGGATGTATTTATGTATATTTATCAGCAGCAACAGGTATAAAAGGAAAAAAGCATATAAAAATAAATTGCTTTAATTAGTCTTGTAAGGATTTACAATATATTAGAAATGTGTATTTATAAAAAAAGGATATGATAAAATTAATGTATATTTAAAAATGATCTAAGCCTGTGAGATTATTTGTATTAGTGAATACAAAAATGGACAAATAAAACATACCTTTAGTGACATGAGCTGGTATTGGTGATGGACATTGACGTTGCATTAAATTTGTGCCATTACCGCGACTATTATGGCCGATAGAGGTCTTTCTAATGATGAACATCGCTGAAATATAAAAAATATATATTGGCATGAGAAATACTATTATTGGGATTTTAGAGTTTAAAAAAGGGAAAGAATTTAACAACTCAAATTGTTTGCGAAGTAGGATTAAAAATATTGATTGATATCATAGAGGAAGTTACATGAAATGAAGAGATTTGTTAAAAGTTTATTTTAAGTTAAAAAATACAGTGAACTATAGATTGAAACTATAGAAAATATAACTATAGATTGGCCTATGTACTAGGCTATAAGACTAGACTATAGACTAAACTATAGACTAGACTATGACTAGACTAGAGGACTATAGACTATAGACTAGACTATGACTAGACTAATAGACTAGAACTATAGACTAGACTATAGACTATACTATAGACTAGACTATAGACTAGACTATAGACCTAGACTATAGACTACTAGACTACTAGACTAGACCTATAGACGAGACTATAGACTAGACTATAGACTAGACTATAGACTAGACTATAGACTAGACTATAGACTAGACTATAGACTAGACTATAGACTAGACTATAGACTAGACTATAGACTAGACTATAGACTAGACTATAGACTAGACTATAGACTAGACTATAGACTAGACTATAGACTAGACTATAGACTAGACTATAGACTAGACTATAGACTAGACTATAGACTAGACTATAGACTAGACTATAGACTAGACTATAGACTAGACTATATACTAGACTACAGACTAGACTACAGACTAGACTATAGACTAGACTATAGACTAGACTATAGACTAGACTATAGACTAGACAATAGACTAGACTATAGACTAGACTATAGACTAGACTACAGACTAGACTATAGACTAGACTAGACTATAGACTAGACTATAGACTAGACTATAGACTAGACTATAGACTAGACTATAGACTAGACTATAGACTATACTATAGACTAGACTACAGACTAGACTATAGACTAGACTATAGACTAGACTATAGACTAGACTATAGACTAGACCTATAGACTAGACTACAGACTAGACTATAGACTAGACTATAGACTCGACTATAGACTAGACTATATACTAGACTACAGACTAGGACTATACAGACTAGACTATAGACTAGACTATAGACGACGACTAGAGATAGACTATAGACTAGACAATAGACTACTATAGGACTAGACTATAGACTAGACTACAGACTAGACTATAGACTAGACTAGACTATAGACTAGACTAGACTATAGACTAACTAGACTAGACAATAACTAGACTATAGACTAGACTATAGACTAGACTATAGACTAGGCCTATAGACTACTAGACTAGACTATAGACTAGACATATAACTAGACTATAGACTAGACTATAGACTAGACTAGAGACTAGACTATAGACTAGACTATAGACTAGACTATAGACTAGGACTATAGACTAGACGATAGACTAGACTATAGACTAGACTATAGACTAGACTATAGACTAGACTATAGACTAGACTATAGACTAGGACTATAGACTAGACTATAGACTAGACTATAGACTAGACTATAGACTAGACTATAGACTAGACTATAGACTAACATAGACGACTATAGACTAGACTATAGACTAGACTATAGACTAGACTATAGACTAGACTATAGACTAGACTATAGACTAGACTATAGACTAGACTATAGACTAGACTATAGACTAGACTATAGACTAGACTATAGACTAGACTATAGACTAGACTATAGACTAGACTATAGACTAGACTATAGACTAGACTATAGACTAGACTATATAGACTAGACTAGACTAGACTAGACTAGAGACTATACTATAGACTATATAGACTAGACTATAGACTAGACTATAGACTAGACTATAGACTAGACTATAGACTAGACTATAGACTAGACTATAGACTACACTATAGACTAGACTACAGACTAGACTATAGACTAGACTATAGACTAGACTATAGACTAGACTATAGACTAGACTATAGACTAGACTATAGACTAGACTATAGACTAGACTACAGACTAGACTATAGACTAGACTATAGACTAGACTGTAGACTAGACTACAGACTAGACTATAGACTAGACTACAGACTAGACTATAGACTAGACTATAGACTAGACTATAGACTAGACTATAGACTAGACTATAGACTAGACTATAGACTAGCCTATAGACTAGACTATAGACTAGACTATAGACTAGACTATAGACTAGACTATAGACTAGACTATAGACTAGACTATAGACTAGACTATAGACTAGACTATAGACTAGACTATAGACTAGACTATAGACTAGACTATAGACTAGACTATAGACTAGACTATAGACTACTATAGACTAGACTATAGACTAGACTATAGACTAGACTATAGACTAGACTATAGACTAGACTATAGACTAGACTATAGACTAGACTATAGACTAGACTATAGACTAGACTATAGACTAGACTATAGACTAGACTATAGACTAGACTATAGACTAGACTATAGACTAGACTATAGACTAGACTATAGACTAGACTAGACTAGACTATAGACTAGACTATAGACTAGACTATAGACTAGACTATAGACTAGACTATAGACTAGACTATAGACTAGACTATAGACTAGACTATAGACTAGACTATAGACTAGACTATAGACTAGACTATAGACTAGACTATAGACTAGACTATAGACTAGACTATAGACTAGACTATAGACTAGACTAGACTAGACTATAGACTAGACTAGACTATAGACTAGACTATAGACTAGACTATAGACTAGACTAGACTATAGACTAGACTATAGACTAGACTAGACTATAGACTGGACTATAGACTAGACTATAGACTAGACTATAGGCTAGACTATAGACTAGACTATAGGCTAGACTATAGACTATATACTAGACTATAAACTTGAATATAGAAAAGACTATTGACTAGACTACAGATACACTATAGAACAGACTTCAGTCCACACTTTCGGGCAAACAATAGACTAAAGCCTACACTATAATTCAAATTAAAGTCTAGACAACAGTTTATACTATAGATTGTTCTATAGTCCAACAATATTTAAAACAATTCTGGAATTTTCAATAAGTAAATTGTGAATAAAAATGTTTATATACACAAGATGAAAGTTATTAATTATGAAAAAATTTTGATAAGGATATTACTATTAGACTATTAGCGAAACCAGGGTTGTATTAGAAGAAACAAACTTACCACAGGAGCTGGTTTCTTTAATATTAACATTTATTATTTTATTTCAACAATAAATTTGTTTAAGTAAAAAAGCAATTAACAGAAAAACAGTGTGTTTAAGAGAACAGCAAAGAAACTTAAAAAAAATAATAACACTTACCACTGGTAAAGGTGGTCTAGTTAAAGCACCAGCTGGTGACTTTTGGGTCGAGGGGGTGTTTTGACCCGATGAAGTGCCACCTGTACCATTATTAATAGCAGCAGCATTGTTACTGCCACCACCACCTTCGTGTATAGTTTCGGGATTTTGAAAGGTGTAAACAGTTAAAGGAGGCCTTTGATGACCTTTTTCATAGGCTGAAGAAATAGTGTGTGGACGCTCGGAGGCGTTAGATGGTAAATCAACGGTGTCTTGGGAATGTGTTGGCCAAGTGGTAACAGCGTGCGAAGGATTATTGATAGAAGAGCCTAAAAGAAGATGTGTACAAGTTTAGAAATTTTGCATTAAGGTTCAAAAGAGAGTTAAATAAAGATGAAAAAAGCAGAGAGTTAGAAAACAAGCAAATAAATTTGAATAAATTAAAAAAAAATATAATAAACAACCTGTGTGGTTAAAGCTGGTGAAGAGCAAAAGCCACTATCACTGGATTCGCCGGGCTTTAAGCGTATAGAAGGCGAAATTAACTAAAAAATAGAAAAACACAACAACAAAACATAAAAAACAAACAAAAAATAAATCAAAATAAAACAACAACAAAAGCATATTACAAACTTATGGAAAAAAAAACAAAACATATATTAATATATATAATTTTTGATTACCTGTGACAAAGATCTAGGATAATGAGGATGTCCAGGAGAATTGCTAGAACCACTGCTATTCATAGAACTTATAGAACACACTGATGACTTGCGCGAACCCAAGGAATTTGAACAACCACCCTGGGATAGAGAACCGCCTCCACCAGCACTGGCACTTGGTGATTCGGGATATAAAGTTATAGAAGCTTTAGCATCATGTATCAATTCCTCACTGGCAGCTGGTAAAACTTGAGGTTCCTTGGTAACCAAAGCAATCGATTGCATGGCCTCCTGCAAAGAAAGTTTTCAATTTAAAATAAATTCTTAAACCCTACACTATTAGAGTACATATAGACTAGACTATAGACTAGACTATAGACTAGAATATAGACTAGACTATAGACTAGAATATAGACTAGACTATAGACAAGACTATAGACTAGACTATAGACTAGACTATAGACTAGACTATAGACTAGACTATAGACTAGACTATAGACTAGACTATAGACTAGACTATAAACTAGACTATAGACTAGACTATATACTAGACTTTAGACTAGACTATCGACTAGACTATAGACTAGACTATAGACTAGACTATAGGCTAGACTATAGACTAGACTATAGACTAGACTATAGACTAGACTATAGACTAGACTATAGACTAGACTATAGACTAGACTATAGACTAGACTATAGACTAGACTATAGACTAGACTATAGACTAGACTATAGACTAGACTATAGACTAGACTATAGACTAGACTATAGACTAGACTATAGACTAGACTATAGACTAGACTATAGACTAGACTATAGACTAGACTTTACACTAGACTATAGACTAGACTATAGGCTAGACTATAGAGTAGTCTATAGACTAGACTATAGACTAGACTATAGACTAGACTATAGACTAGACTAGACTAGACTATAGACTGACTAGACTAGACTATAGACTAACTAGACTATAGACTAGACTATAGACTAGACCATAGACTAGACTATAGACTAGACTATAGACTAGACTATAGACTAGACTATAGACTAGACTATAGACTAGACTATAGACTAGACTATAGACTAGACCATAGACTAGACTATAGACTAGACTATAGACTAGACCATAGACTAGACTATAGACTAGACTATAGACTAGACTATAGACTAGACTATAGACTAGACTATAGACTAGACTATAGACTAGACTATAGACTAGACTATAGACTAGACTATAGACTAGACTATAGACTAGACTATAGACTAGACTATAGACTAGACTATAGACTAGACTATAGACTAGACTATAGACTAGACTATAGACTAGACTATAGACTAGACTATATACTAGACTAGACTATAGACTATAGACTAGACTAGACTATAGACTAGACTATAGACTAGACTATAGACTAGACTATAGACTAGACTATAGACTAGACTATAGACTAGACTATAGACTAGACTATAGACTAGACTATACTAGACTAGACTAGACTATGGACTAGACTAGACTATAGACTAGACTAGACTATAGACTAGACTAGACTATAGACTAGACTAGACTAGACTAGACTATAGACTAGACTAGACTATAGACTAGACTATAGACTAGACTATAGACTAGACTATAGACTAGACTATAGACTAGACTATAGACTAGACTATAGACTAGACTATAGACTAGACTATAGACTAGACTATAGACTAGACTATAGACTAGATTATAGACTAGACTATAGACTAGACTATAGACTAGACTATAGACTAGACTATAGACTAGACTATAGACTAGACTATAGACTAGACTAGACTATAGACTAGACTAGACTATAGACTAGACTATAGACTAGACTATAGACTAGACTATAGACTAAACTATGGACTAGACTATAGACTAGACTAGACTATAGACTAGACTAGACTATAGACTAGACTATAGACTATACTATAGACTAGACTATAGACTAGACTATAGACTAAACTATGGACTAGACTATAGACTAGACTATAGACTAGACTATAGACTAGTCTATAGACTAGACTATAGACTAGACTATAGACTAGACTATAGACTAGACTATAGACTAGACTATAGACTAGACTATAGACTAGACTATAGACTAGACTATAGACTAGACTATAGACTAGACTATAGACTAGACTATAGACTAGACTATAGACTAGACTATAGACTAGACTATAGACTAGACTATAGACTAGACTATAGACTAGACTATAGACTAGACTATAGACTAGACTATAGACTAGACTATAGACTAGACTATAGACTAGACTATAGACTAGACTATAGACTAGACTATAGACTAGACTATAGACTAGACTATAGACTAGACTATAGACTAGACTATAGACTAGACTATAGACTAGACTATAGACTAGACTATAGACTAGACTATAGACTAGACTATAGACTAGACTATAGACTAGACTATAGACTAGACTATAGACTAGACTATAGACTAGACTATAGACTAGACTATAGACTAGACTATAGACTAGACTATAGACTAGACTATAGACTAGACTATAGACTAGACTATAGACTAGACTATAGACTAGACTATAGACTAGACTATAGACTAGACTATAGACTAGACTATAGACTAGACTATAGACTAGACTATAGACTAGACTATAGACTAGACTATAGACTAGACTATAGACTAGACTATATACTAGACTAGACTATAGACTAGACTATAGACTAGACTATAGACTAGACTATGGACTAGACTATAGACTAGACTATAGACTAGACTATAGACTATACTATAGGCTAGACTATAGAATAGACTATACTATAGGCTAGACTATAGAATAGACTATAGACTAAACAATAGAATAGACTTAGTCTTTAGTCTATTCTATAGTTTAGTCTATAGGCTAGACTATAGATTAATCTATAGACTAGACTAAAGACTAGTAGGGCATCATAAGATAGGCCATGACCGACTATACTTTCTGACTTGTTTATATTTACTAACAAAAAACAAACTTACTTGTAAATGACCCAATTCCGACATAACCTCACATTCTTCCTTCACTACTGGCTGCAGCATATGAACAAAACTGCAATAACGCATACGTTCCTCAATCATGGCTGATCTTAAGGATTTCTTCTCCACCTCCTCCAGTTCAGCACGTCTTAGTGTGACATCCTGCATGTGTGAATCCATTAACGATTGCAATGTATCAGATTGTCCTTTGCGGGCTTTCTTCTGTAAACGTAACGTATCTGTCGAACGTTTTTTCAATTCAGTACGACAACGTTTATATTCTTTGGCATGTTCCTTATCTATAGTAGCGACAGAACGTTTCCAGTCTTCTAATTTATCCTAGAAATTTGTCGCAAGATAAAAATAAAGAAACAGGTTAATGAAAATCTTGCACATCAAAGGGGAAAATTTTTTAAAAAAATAAACATCAATAAGGAGACCTGACAAAGAAGAAGAAAGTCTTTGTAGATTTGTGTAAACAAAAAAAAAAAAAAAATTTTAACTCACTTGTAATGGTTGTACCAGACAGTCCATTATAGCAGCTGTAAATGTTTTAAGGCGTGTTTCAACCGCCTTGTGTCTTAAACATACTCTGGTTAAAGCAGTACCAATCTCTTTTGAAGCTCCTGTAATTAAAACAAAAAAAAAAAAGAAAAAGGAAAATTGTTTTTATTTTTTTTTCTTACTAGTTTAGTTTGATGCTTGTTAAAAAATTATAAAAATAAAAATTATTAATAGTTTTTCTTCATTTTATTTTTAAATCTCATCTACATACATGATTTTTTTTTTTTTTGTTAAGATTGCTTAAAAATAAACCGTGTGAAAGTATCAACGAATGAGGAGGAATGAAAGATAGCTAGGAAAGAAAATACATATAGTATGTAATCAATTTAATATGCATGCTCTTGGGACTAGGTCAAGAACCAGTCTACTCTGTTCAACTTGCAAAATGAGAGTAATAGGTCTGTACTGTTTGTCGCTGGCAAAAAAATTGTATGTTTTGCTTTGAAACAAGTTTTGTCATTAGCTATTTCAATATTTTTGTTCCTCATTCTTCTAAAGTATTTTTTTTTTTTAGTTTCTTAGACAGAAATTGTCTTTGTCTACAAAGAAAAAACTCGCTGGTAATGAGTTTGTCCGTATGCAGATAATGTTGTCAATATTTATTTAAAATAAATTGAAAATATAACCGTTTCTAAAGAGAATGGTTGTTTGTGGGAAAAGAAGGGATATTAAACAAATAAAATGTATAACTAATTACTAACGTAACCGGGGCGATTCGCTAATTCAAATGAAATTATATGCATTAAATAAAATTTAAGAGAAATTAACAGGATAAAATATAAAGACTTTAAGGCCTCCACATTGTCTTGACTATAGAGTATTTAGTCTAGTAAGTATACAGTATAGTCTTTAATTGTCATTAATTATTTTTTTAACATTCATATGATCTTTTCCCTTCTTTCCGGCAACGTATGGATTCTGCTCACGAACATACGATGCAAGGTCTGGATTATAAGACGAGTGAGGCAAAACCTCCCAATAACTGGAACTGAATTAGAACTGAACGATGAAAGTTCTGGATTATAAGACGAGGGAGGCAAAAGTTCCCAATCAGTGGAACTGAACTAGAACTGAACTAGAACTGAAGTAGAACTAAAACTAGAACTGAACTAGAACTGAACTAGAACTGAACTAGAACTGAACTAGAACTGAACTAGAACTGAACTAGAACTGAACTAGAACTGAACTAGAACTGAACTAGAACTGAACTAGAACTGAACTAGAATTGAACTAGAACTGAACTAGAACTGAACTAGAACTGAACTAGAACTGAACTAGAACTGAACTAGAACTGAACTAGAACTGAACTAGAACTGAACTAGAACTGAACTAGAACTGAACTAGAACTGAACTAGAACTGAACTAGAACTGAACTAGAACTGAACTAGAACTGAACTAGAACTGAAATAGAACTGAACTAGAACTGAACTAGAACTAGAACTGAACTAGAACTGAACTAGAACTGAACTAGAACTGAACTAGAACTGAACTAGAATTGAACTAGAACTGAACTAGAACTGAACTAGAACTGAACTAGAACTGAACTAGAACTGAACTAGAATTGAACTAGAACTGAACTAGAACTGAACTAGAATTGAACTAGAACTGAACTAGAACTGAACTAGAACTGAACTAGAACTGAACTAGAACTGAACTAGAACTGAACTAGAACTGAACTAGAACTGAACTAGAATTGAACTAGAACTGAACTAGAACTGAACTAGAACTGAACTAGAACTGAACTAGAACTGAACTAGAACTGAACTAGAACTGAACTAGAACTGAACTAGAATTGAACTAGAACTGAACTAGAACTGAACTAGAACTGAACTAGAACTGAACTAGAACTGAACTAGAACTGAACTAGAACTGAACTAGAACTGAACTAGAACTGAACTAGAACTGAACTAGAACTAGAACTGAACTAGAACTGAACTAGAACTGAACTAGAACTGAACTAGAACTGAACTAGAACTGAACTAGAACTGAACTAGAACTGAACTAGAACTGAACTAGAACTGAACTAGAACTGAACTAGAACTGAACTAGAACTGAACTAGAACTGAACTAGAACTGAACTAGAACTGAACTAGAACTGAACTAGAACTGAACTAGAACTGAACTAGAACTGAACTAGAACTGAACTAGAACTGAACTAGAACTGAACTAGAACTGAACTAGAACTGAACTAGAACGAACTGAACTAGAACTGAACTAGAACTGAACTAGAACTGAACTAGAACTGAACTAGAATTGAACTAGAACTGAACTAGAACTGAACTAGAACTGAACTAGAACTGAACTAGAACTGAACTAGAACTGAACTAGAACTGAACTAGAACTGAACTAAAACTGAACTAGAACTGAACTAGAACTGAGCTAGAACTGAACTAGAACTGAACTAGAACTGAACTAGAACTGAACTAGAACTGAACTAGAACTGAACTAGAACTGAACTAGAATTGAACTAGAACTGAACTAGAACTGAACTAGAACTGAACTAGAACTGAACTAGAACTGAACTAGAACTGAACTAGAACTGAACTAGAACTGAACTAGAACTGAACTAGAACTGAACTAGAACTGAACTAGAACTGAACTAGAACTGAACTAGAACTGAACTAGAACTGAACTAGAACTGAACTAGAACTGAACTAGAACTGAACTAGAACTGAACTAGAACTGAACTAGAACTGAACTAGAACTGAACTAGAACTGAACTAGAACTGAACTAGAACTGAACTAGAACTGAACTAGAACTGAACTAGAACTGAACTAGAACTGAACTAGAACTGAACTAGAACTGAACTAGAACTGAACTAGAACTGAACTAGAACTGAACTAGAATTGAACTAGAACTGAACTAGAACTGAACTAGAACTGAACTAGAACTGAACTAGAACTGAACTAGAACTGAACTAGAACTGAACTAGAACTGAACTAGAACTGAACTAGAACTGAACTAGAACTGAACTAGAACTGAACTAGAACTGAACTAGAACTGAACTAGAACTGAACTAGAACTGAACTAGAACTGAACTAGAACTGAACTAGAACTGAACTAGAACTGAAATAGAACTGAACTAGAACTGAACTAGAACTGAACTAGAACTGAACTAGAACTGAACTAGAACTGAACTAGAACTGAACTAGAACTGAACTAGAACTGAACTAGAACTGAACTAGAACTGAACTAGAACTGAACTAGAACTGAACTAGAACTAGAACTGAACTAGAACTGAACTAGAACTGAACTAGAACTGAATTAGAACTGAATTAGAACTAAACTAGAACTGAACTAGAACTGAACTGAACTGAACTGAACTAAAACTGAACTAGAACTGAACTAGAACTGAACTAGAACTGAACTAGAACTGAACTAGAACTGAACTAGAACTGAACTAGAGCTGAACTAGAACTGAACTAGAACTGAACTAGAACTGAACTAGAACTGAACTAGAACTGAACTAGAACTGAATCAACTTTTTCTTTCTTTTACAATTACCTCCAGATCAAACCATCAATAACAATAATAATTGAAACCATAACAATTTGATATGAAAATCCCACAGGACAATAATTAGGTCACAACAAAATTAATTTCAAAATTACCTGTCATTAGTTTAAATTAAATAAACAAGTGTCTGGCCATTAAAACCAATATTTATTTAAAATAAAGTAAAATTTTGTTTATCTAATGTTATTTTCTTATCACTTCAAAATGGGAAATAATTTACAAATGGAATAAATAAGTAAGAAAATAAACAAACCAAACACCAAACAACATTTTACAAAAAAAAAAATATGTATAAAAAAATTTTTCAGAAAAAATATGTTTAAGACTATTAACAGCCACAACAGTTGTGGTATTAATGTAAAAAGAATTTTGCAACAACATGTTGCTGCCTCAAAATAAACAAACATATAGACAGACTATGGTTTCCACTTTTATCTGTAACAAAATCAACAAAAATTATACATTTTCCAAAACTAAAATTATAATAAAATAACAAATAAAATGTTGCATAATTTAGTTTTTTTTCTACACTCCAGCAGCAGCAACTACAACCCACAAGACATTTAAACTAATGCGCAAAACTAACAACAGATTGGGAAAATTCTTTGATTGTTTTTTTTTTTTGCTTTTCTTTACAAAGAAATTTCAAATGGAAAATTTGTATGTATGTATGTTAAATAGAATCACGAAAAACTAAATAATTGCACAAAGAAAAGAAGAAAAAAACAAGAAGCATAAACTGTGAAAAAAAGTTTTTAAAAAGAAACAGCTAAAGACGAAGGAAGCGAATAAAAAAAAATGTAGAACCAAATCAGATCACTGACCGCAAATGACTTATGTAAATAGAGGAGGAAATAACAACAACAATAACAAAAAATACTACAACAATTACAATGGCAGCAACATTTGTAAGTAGTATGTGAAGATAAATAAAAAAGAATTTTTCGAGGATGGTACGATAATTATTGAACATTTTCTATAAGTAAATTTATTGAAGAATAAAACATTATTGAAAATTATAAAAATAGAAAATTTTCTATAAGATTTTTATTCAAAACTTTTTAGAAAAAGAAAATTTTATGGAACATAAAGAAGGTCTGGATTATAAGGCGGTTGCGGAAGAACATTCCAATCATTTCTTCTTCGCCTTAATACATAGTTTATAATTGATCTGTATTAGAACTGAACTAGAGCTGAACTTGAACTGAACTAGAACTACAACTAGAACTGAACTAGAACTGAACCAGAACTGAACTAGAACTGAACTAGAACTGAACTAGAACTGAACTAGAACTGAACTAGAACTGAACTAGAACTGAACTAGAACTGAACTAAACTGAACTAGAACTGAACTAGAACTGAACTAGAACTGAACTAGAACTGAACTAGAACTGAACTAGAACTGAACTAGAACTGAACTAGAACTGAACTAGAACTGAACTAGAAACTGAACTAGAACTGAACTAGAACTGAACTAGAACTGAACTAGAACTGAAACTAGAACTGAACTAGAACTGAACTAGAACTGAACTAGAACTGAACTAGAACTGAACTAGAACTGAACTAGAACTGAACTAGAACTGAACTAGAACTGAACTGAAACTAGAACTGAACTGAACTGAAGAACTGAACTAGAACTGAACTAGAACTGAACTAGAACTGAACTGAACTGAACTAGAACTGAACTAGAACTGAACTAGAACTGAACTAGAACTGAACTAGAACTGAACTAGAACTGAACTAGAACTGAACTAGAACTGAACTAGAACTGAACTAGAACTGAACTAGAACTGAACTAGAACTGAACTAGAACTGAACTAGAACTGAACTAGAACTGAACTAGAACTGAACTAGAACTGAACTAGAACTGAACTAGAACTGAACTAGAACTGAACTAGAACTGAACTAGAACTGAACTAGAACTGAACTAGAACTAAACTAGACTGAAGAAGAACTGAACTGAACTAGAACTGAACTAGAACTGAAGTAGAACTGAACTAGAACTGAACTAGAACTGAACTAGAATTGAACTAGAACTGAACTAGAACTGAACTAGAACTAGAACTGAACTAGGAACTGAACTAGAACTGAACTAGAACTGAACTAGAACTGAAGAAGAACTGAACTAGAACTGAACTAGAATTGAACTAGAACTGAACTAGAACTGAACTAGAACTGACTAGAACTGAAATAGAACTGAACTAGAACTAGAACTGAACGAGAACTAGAACTGAACTAGAACTGAACTAGAACTGAACTAGAACTGAACTAGAAACTAGAACTGAACTAGAACTGAACTGAACTAGAACTGAACTAGAAACTGAACTAGAACTGAACTAGAACTGAACTAGAACTGAACTAGAACTGAACTAGAACTGAACTAGAAATGAACTAGAACTGAACTAGAATGAACTAGAACTGAACTAGAACTGAACTAGAACTGAACTAGACTGAACTAGAACTGAACTAGAACTGAACTAGAACTGAACTAGAAACTGAACTAGAACTGAACTAGAACTGAAACTAGAACTGAACTAGAACTGAACAAGAACTGAACTAGAACTGAACTAGAACTGAACTAGAACTGAACTAGAACTGAACTAGAACTGAACTAGAACTGAACTAGAACTGAACTAGAACTGAACTAGAACTGAACTAGAACTGAACTAGAACTGAACTAGAACTGAACTAGAACTGAACTAGAACTGAACTAGAACTGAACTAGAAACTGAACGAACTGAACTAGAACTGAACTAGAAACTGAACTAGAACTGAACTAGAACTGAACTAGAACTGAACTGAACTAGAACTGAACTGGAACTGAACTGGAACTGAACTAGAACTGAACTAGAACTGAACTAGAACTGAACTGAACTGAACTAGAAACTGAACTAGAACTGAACTAGAACTGAACTAGAACTGAACTAGAACTGAACTAGAACTGAACTAGAACTGAAACTGAACTGAACTAGAACTGAACTAAACTGAACTAGAACTGAACTAGAACTGAACTAGAACTGAACTAGAACTGAACTAGAACTGAAACTAGAATGAACTAGAACTGAACTAGAACTGAATAGAACTAAACTAGAACTGAAGAAGAACTGAACTGAACTAGAACTGAACTAGAACTGAAGTAGAACTGAAACTAGAACTGAACTAGAACTGAACTAGAATTGAACTAGAACTGAACTAGAACTGAACTAGAACTAGAACTGAACTAGGACTGAACTAGAACTGAACTAGAACTGAACTAGAACTGAAGAAGAACTGAACTAGAACTGAACTAGAATTGAAACTAGAACTGAACTAGAACTGAACTAGAACTGACTAGAACTGAAATAGAACTGAACTAGAACTAGAACTGAACGAGAACTAGAACTGAACTAGAACTGAACTAGAACTGAACTAGAACTGAACTAGAACTAGAACTGAACTAGAACTGAACTAGAACTGAACTAGAACTGAACTAGAACTGAACTAGAACTGAACTAGAACTGAACTAGAACTGAACTAGAACTGAACTAGAACTGAACTAGAACTGAACTAGAACTGAACTAGAACTGAACTAGAACTGAACTAGAACTGAACTAGAACTGAACTAGAACTGAACTAGAACTGAACTAGAACTGAACAAGAACTGAACTGAACTGAACTAGAATGAACTAGAACTGAAAACTAGAACTGAACTAGATGAACTAGAACTGAACTAGAACTGAACTAGAACTGAACTAGAATGAACTAGAACTGAACTAGAACTGAACTAGAACTGAACTAGAACTGAACTAGAAACTGAACTAGAACTGAACTAGAAACTGAACTAGAACTGAACTAGAACTGAAATAGAATGAAACTACAACTGAACTAGAAATGAACTAGAAAATGTCAATTTGACAAACCACCCTCGCATATTATAGTTTAAATGCAAACATTTTTCAAAATGAAACAAAATATTAAAACCAACTTTTAAATTTTACTACTCGAATAACATCACAAAAAAAAAAAACTACTGTAGCGTAGTTTTTCTTTTTTGTTAAAGTTTCGAATTTTTAGATTTTCTGTATTTTTCCTTAAATTTTTGTTTATGTTACACATTTGAATTACCTCTTGAATTTGTTGCTGCGTCTGCGATGAGAGGAAAGCATCCAAATATGCTGCGATAGTTGTATGGCCGCACTGTAAAAAAATAAAACACAAAACAAATAAATTAACAAAATTAAAAAACTATATAGTAGAATGAACAGAAAAAAAAACATGATGGCATCATAAAAAAAAACTATGTTAAATTTTAACAAACAAACAAATGAGTCTGTCTGAAAATTAAGGAAATAATAAGTAATCATGTGGCTATAACACATTTGAACTTCGTTATGATTTTTCTTCTTATGTCGGTTTTTATGGTTTTCTTTGGCTTTTTAAAGGTTTTTAACAAAATATTTAATATAAAAATATGTGTTTTTTTTGGAATTCTTTAGAATGCATTTACTGTTGGTTTTAGTGTTAAGCTCTAACATAAAATGTTTCAATGAAATTACTTTACATTTTGTTTTGCTATTTTTTCACTAATTCTTTAAAAAAAAAAAAGAATTCTTTTTAGAAAGTAGAAAGAAAACTTGTCGAAATTTTTCTATAAAAATTTTTTATATAAAGAATATGTTTATCAAAATTTTCTATAAAATGAACATTTTATCAAAAATTTCAAAAAAAAAAATTAAATTTTTATCAACAATTCTCTATAAAATAAAAAATTTCTATAAAATAAAATTTTTAACAAAAATTTTTTTTAAAAAGAAAATTTTCGACAAAAATTTTTATTGAAAATTTTCTGTAAAAACGAAATTTTTATCGAAAATTTTCTGTAAAAACGAAATTTTTATCGAAAATTTTCTGTAAAAACGAAATTTTTATCGAAAATTTTCTGTAAAACGAAATTTTTATCGAAAATTTTCTGTAAAAACGAAATTTTTATCGAAAATTTTCTATAAAAAAATTTTTATCGAAAATTTTCTATAAGAATTGTTATCGAAAATTTTCTATAAAAATTGTTATCGAAAATTTTCTATAAAAATTGTTATCGAAAATTTTCTATAAAAATTGTTATCGAAAATTTTCTATAAAATTGTTATCGAAATTTTTCTTAAAAATTGTTATCGAAAATTTTCTATAAAATTGTTATCGAAAATTTTCTATAAAAATTGTTATCGAAAATTTCTATAAAAATTGTTATCGAAAATTTTCTATAAAAATTGTTATCGAAAATTCTATAAAAATTGTTATCGAAAATTTTCTATAAAAATTGTTATCGAAAATTTTCTATAAAAATTGTTATCGAAAATTTTCTATAAAAATTGTTATCGAAAATTTTCTATAAAAATTGTTATCGAAAATTTTCTATAAAATTGTTATCGAAAATTTTCGATAAAATTTTTATAGAAATTTTCGATAACAATTTTTATAGAAAATTTTCGATAAATAGAATTTTCGAAACAATTTTTATAGAAAATTTTCGAAAATTTTTATAGAAAATTTTCGATAACAATTTTTATAGAAAATTTGATAACAATTTTATAGAAAATTTTCGATAAAATTTTATAGAAAATTTTCGATAAAATTTTTATAGAAAATTTTCGAAAATTTTTATAGAAAATTTTCGATAACAATTCTTATAGAAAATTTTCGATAAAAATTTCGTTTTTATAGAAAATTTTCGTATAAAATTTCGTTTTACAGAAAATTTTCGATAAAAATTTTTTACAAAATTTTCGATAAAAATTTCGTTTTTCAAAATTTCGATAAAATTTCGTTTTTACAGAAAATTTTCGATAAAAATTTCGTTTTTACAGAAAATTTTCATAAAAATTTTCGAAATTTTCTTTTAAAAAAATTTTTGTTAAAAATTTTATTTTATAGAAATTTTTTATTTTATAGAGATTGTTGATAAAAATTTATTTTTTTTTTTGAAATTTTTTGATAAAAATGTTCATTTTATAGAAAATTTTGATAAACATATTCTTTATATAAAAAATTTTTTATAGAAAATTTCGACAAGTTTTCTTTCTACTTTCTAAAAAGAATTCTTTTTTTTTTTAAAGAATAGTGAAAAAATAGCAAAAACAAAATGTAAAGTAATTTCATTGAAACATTTTATGTTAGAGCTTACACTAAAACCAACAGTAAATGCATTCTAAAGATTCCAAAAAAAAACACTATTTTTATATTAAATATTTTGTTAAAAACCTTAAAAAGCCAAAGAAAAACTAAAAAAAACCGACATAAAGAAGAAAAATCATAACGAAGTTCAAATGTGTTTATAGCCACATGATTACATTATTATTTCCTTAATTTTCAGACAGACTCATTTGTTTTGTTTGTTAAAATTTAACATAGTTTTTTTTTATGATGCCATCATGTTTTTTTTTCTGTTCATTCTACTATAGTTTTTTAATTTTGTTAATTTATTTGTTTTGTGTTTTATTTTTTTTACAGTGCGGCCATACAAGCTTAGCAGCATATTTGGTGCTTTCCAAAAAATCGCAGACGCAGCAACAATTCAAGAGGTAAGTTCAAATTGTAACATAAACAAAAAATTTAAGGAAAATACAGAAAATCTAAAAATTCGAAACTTTAACAAAAAAGAAAAACTACGCTACGAGTAGTTTTAGTTTTATTTTGTGATGTTATTCGAGTAGTAAAATTTAAAAGTTGGTTTTAATATTTGTTGTACATTTTGAAAAATGTTTGCATTTAAACATAATATGCGAGGGTGGTTTGTCAAATTGACATTTTCTAGTTCATTTCTAGTTCAGTTGTAGTTCAATTCTATTTCAGTTCTAGTTCAGTTCTAGTTCAGTTCTAGTTCAGTTCTAGTTCAGTTCTAGTTCAGTTCTAGTTCAGTTCTAGTTCAGTTCTAGTTCAGTTCTAGTTCAGTTCTAGTTCAGTTCTAGTTCAGTTCTAGTTCAGTTCTAGTTCAGTTCTAGTTCAGTTCTAGTTCAGTTCTAGTTCAGTTCTAGTTCAGTTCTAGTTCAGTCTTGTTCAGTTCTAGTTCAGTTCTAGTTCAGTTTAGTTCAGTTCTAGTTCAGTTTCTAGTTCAGTTCTAGTTCAGTTCTAGTTCAGTTTCTAGTTCAGTTTCTAGTTCAGTTCTAGTTCAGTTCTAGTTCAGTTCTAGTTCAGTTCTAGTTCAGTTCTAGTTCAGTTCTAGTTCAGTTCTAGTTCAGTTCTAGTTCAGTTCTAGTTCAGTTCTAGTTCTAGTTCAGTTCTAGTTCAGTTCTAGTTCAGTTCTAGTTCAGTTCTAGTTCTCGTTCAGTTCTAGTTCTAGTTCAGTTCTATTTCAGTCTAGTCAGTTCTAGTTCAGTTCTAGTTCAGTTCTAGTTCAATTCTATTCAGTTCTAGTTCAGTTTCTTCTTCAGTTCTAGTTCAGTTCTAGTTCAGTTCTAGTTCAGTCCTAGTTCAGTTCTAGTTCTAGTTCAGTTTCTAGTTCAGTTCTAGTTCAATTCTAGTTCAGTTCTAGTTCAGTTCTAGTTCAGTTCTCCTTCAGTTCTAGTTCAGTTCTAGTTCAGTTCAGTTTCTTCTTCAGTTTCTAGTTTAGTTCTAGTTCAGTTCTAGTTCAGTTCTAGTTCAGTTCTAGTTCAGTTCTAGTTCAGTTCTAGTTCAGTTCTAGTTTCAGTTTCTAGTTCAGTTCTAGTTCAGTTCTAGTTCAGTTCTAGTTCAGTTCTAGTTCAGTCTAGTTCAGTTCTAGTTCAGTTCTAGTTCATTCTAGTTCAGTTCTAGTTCAGTTCTAGTTCATTCTAGTTCAGTTCAGTTCAGTTCTAGTTCAGTTCTAGTTCAGTTCTCGTTCAGTTCCAGTTCAGTTTCCAGTTCAGTTCTAGTTTCAGTTCAGTTCTAGTTCAGTTCTAGTTCAGTTCTAGTTCATTCTAGTTCAGTTCTAGTTCAGTTCTAGTTCAGTTCTAGTTCAGTTTAGTTCAGTTCTAGTTCAGTTCTAGTTCAGTTCTAGTTCAGTTCTAGTTTCAGTTCTAGTTCAGTTCTAGTTCAGTTCTAGTTCAGTTCTAGTTCAGTTCTAGTTCTTCTAGTTCAGTTCTAGTTCAGTTCTAGTTCAGTTCTAGTTCAGTTCTAGTTCAGTTCTTGTTCAGTTCTAGTTCAGTTCTAGTTCAGTTCTAGTTCAGTTCTAGTTCAGTTCTAGTTCAGTTCTAGTTCAGTTCTAGTTCAGTTCTAGTTCATTCTAGTTCAGTTCTAGTTCAGTTCTAGTTCAGTTCTAGTTCAGTTCTAGTTCAGTTCTAGTTCAGTTCTAGTTCAGTTTCTAGTTCAGTTCTAGTTCAGTTCTAGTTCAGTTCTAGTTCAGTTCTAGTTCAGTTCTAGTTCAGTTCTAGTTCAGTTCTAGTTCTAGTTCATTCTAGTTCTAGTTCAGTTCTAGTTCAGTTCTAGTTCAGTTCTAGTTCAGTTTCTAGTTCTCGTTCAGTTCTAGTTCTAGTTTCAGTTCTATTTCAGTTCTAGTCAGTTCTAGTTCAGTTCTAGTTTCATTCTAGTTTCAATTCTAGTTCAGTTCTAGTTCAGTTCTTCTTCAGTTCTAGTTCAGTTCTAGTTCAGTTCTAGTTCAGTCTAGTTCAGTTCTAGTTCTAGTTCAGTTCTAGTTCAGTTCTAGTTCAATTCTAGTTCAGTTCTAGTTCAGTTCTAGTTCAGTTCTACTTCAGTTCTAGTTCAGTTCTAGTTCAGTTCAGTTCTTCTTCAGTTCGAGTTTAGTTCTAGTTCAGTTCTAGTTCAGTTCTAGTTTTCAGTTCTAGTTCAGTTCTAGTTCCGTTCTAGTTCAGTTTCTAGTTCAGTTCAGTTCAGTTCTAGTTCAGTTCTAGTTCAGTTCTAGTTCAGTCTAGTTCAGTTCTAGTTCAGTTCTAGTTCAGTTCTAGTTCAGTTCTAGTTCAGTTCTAGTTCGTTCTAGTTCAGTTCTAGTTCAGTTCTAGTTTCAGTTCTAGTTCAGTTCTAGTTCAGTTTCTAGTTCAGTTCTAGTTCAGTTCAGTTCAGTTCTAGTTCAGTTCTAGTTCAGTTCTAGTTCAGTTCCAGTTCAGTTCCAGTTCAGTTCTAGTTTCAGTTCAGTTCTAGTTCAGTTCTAGTTCAGTTCTAGTTCAGTTCTAGTTCAGTTCTAGTTCAGTTCTAGTTCAGTTCTAGTTCAGTTCTAGTTCAGTTCTAGTTCAGTTCTAGTTCAGTTCTAGTTCAGTTCTAGTTCAGTTCTAGTTCAGTTCTAGTTCAGTTCTAGTTCAGTTCTAGTTCAGTTCTAGTTCAGTTCTAGTTCAGTTCTAGTTCAGTTCTAGTTCAGTTCTAGTTCAGTTCTAGTTCAGTTCTAGTTCAGTTCTAGTTCAGTTCTAGTTCAGTTCTAGTTCAGTTCTAGTTCAGTTCTAGTTCAGTTCTAGTTCAGTTCTAGTTCAGTTCTAGTTCAGTTCTGGTTCAGTTCTAGTTCAGTTCTAGTTGTAGTTCTAGTTCAGTTCAAGTTCAGCTCTAGTTCAGTTCTAATACAGATCAATTATAAACTATGTATTAAGGCGAAGAAGAATGATTGGAATGTTCTTCCGCAACCGCCTTATAATCCAGACCTTCTTTATGTTCCATAAAATTTTCTTTTTCTAAAAAGTTTTGAATAAAAATCTTATAGAAAATTTTCTATTTTTATAATTTTCAATAATGTTTTATTCTTCAATAAATTTACTTATAGAAAATGTTCAATAATTATCGTACCATCCTCGAAAAATTCTTTTTTATTATCTTCACATACTACTTACAAATGTTGCTGCCATTGTAATTGTTGTAGTATTATTTTGTTATTGTTGTTGTTTTTCCTCCTCTATATTTACATAAGTCATTTGCGGTCAGTGATCTGATTTGGTTCTACATTTTTTTTTATTCGCTTCCTTCGTCTTTAGCTGTTTCTTTTTAAAAACTTTTTTTCACAGTTTATGCTTCTTGTTTTTTTCTTCTTTTCTTTGTGCAATTATTTAGTTTTTCGTGATTCTATTTAACATACATACATACAAATTTTCCATTTGAAATTTCTTTGTAAAGAAAAGCAAAAAAAAAACAATCAAAGAATTTTCCCAATCTGTTGTTAGTTTTGCGCATTAGTTTAAATGTCTTGTGGGTTGTAGTTGCTGCTGCTGGAGTGTAGAAAAAAAACTAAATTATGCAACATTTTATTTGTTATTTTATTATAATTTTAGTTTTGGAAAATGTATAATTTTTGTTGATTTTGTTACAGATAAAAGTGGAAACCATAGTCTGTCTATATGTTTGTTTATTTTGAGGCAGCAACATGTTGTTGCAAAATTCTTTTTACATTAATACCACAACTGTTGTGGCTGTTAATAGTCTTAAACATATTTTTTCTGAAAAATTTTTTTATACATATTTTTTTTTTTGTAAAATGTTGTTTGGTGTTTGGTTTGTTTATTTTCTTACTTATTTATTCCATTTGTAAATTATTTCCCATTTTGAAGTGATAAGAAAATAACATTAGATAAACAAAATTTTACTTTATTTTAAATAAATATTGGTTTTAATGGCCAGACACTTGTTTATTTAATTTAAACTAATGACAGGTAATTTTGAAATTAATTTTGTTTGTGACCTAATTATTGTCCTGTGGGATTTTCATATCAAATTGTTATGGTTTCAATTATTATTGTTATTGATGGTTTGATCTGGAGGTAATTGTAAAAGAAGAAAAAGTTGATTCAGTTCTAGTTCAGTTCTAGTTCAGTTCTAGTTCAGTTCTAGTTCAGTTCTAGTTCAGTTCTAGTTCAGCTCTAGTTCAGTTCTAGTTCAGTTCTAGTTCAGTTCTAGTTCAGTTCTAGTTCAGTTCTAGTTCAGTTCTAGTTCAGTTTTAGTTCAGTTCAGTTCAGTTCAGTTCTAGTTCAGTTCTAGTTTAGTTCTAATTCAGTTCTAATTCAGTTCTAGTTCAGTTCTAGTTCAGTTCTAGTTCAGTTCTAGTTCTAGTTCAGTTCTAGTTCAGTTCTAGTTCAGTTCTAGTTCAGTTCTAGTTCAGTTCTAGTTCAGTTCTAGTTCAGTTCTAGTTCAGTTCTAGTTCAGTTCTAGTTCAGTTCTAGTTCAGTTCTAGTTCAGTTCTAGTTCAGTTCTATTTCAGTTCTAGTTCAGTTCTAGTTCAGTTCTAGTTCAGTTCTAGTTCAGTTCTAGTTCAGTTCTAGTTCAGTTCTAGTTCAGTTCTAGTTCAGTTCTAGTTCAGTTCTAGTTCAGTTCTAGTTCAGTTCTAGTTCAGTTCTAGTTCAGTTCTAGTTCAGTTCTAGTTCAGTTCTAGTTCAGTTCTAGTTCAGTTCTAGTTCAGTTCTAGTTCAGTTCTAGTTCAATTCTAGTTCAGTTCTAGTTCAGTTCTAGTTCAGTTCTAGTTCAGTTCTAGTTCAGTTCTAGTTCAGTTCTAGTTCAGTTCTAGTTCAGTTCTAGTTCAGTTCTAGTTCAGTTCTAGTTCAGTTCTAGTTCAGTTCTAGTTCAGTTCTAGTTCAGTTCTAGTTCAGTTCTAGTTCAGTTCTAGTTCAGTTCTAGTTCAGTTCTAGTTCAGTTCTAGTTCAGTTCTAGTTCAGTTCTAGTTCAGTTCTAGTTCAGTTCTAGTTCAGTTCTAGTTCAGTTCTAGTTCAGTTCTAGTTCAGTTCTAGTTCAGTTCTAGTTCAGTTCTAGTTCAGTTCTAGTTCAGTTCTAGTTCAGTTCTAGTTCAGTTCTAGTTCAGTTCTAGTTCATTCTAGTTCAGTTCTAGTTCAGTTCTAGTTCAGTTCTAGTTCAGTTCTAGTTCAGTTCTAGTTCAGTTCTAGTTCAGTTCTAGCTCAGTTCTAGTTCAGTTCTAGTTCAGTTTTAGTTCAGTTCTAGTTCAGTTCTAGTTCAGTTCTAGTTCAGTTCTAGTTCAGTTCTAGTTCAGTTCTAGTTCAGTTCTAGTTCAGTTCTAGTTCATTCTAGTTCAGTTCTAGTTCAGTTCTAGTTCAGTTCTAGTTCAGTTCTAGTTCAGTTCTAGTTCAGTTCTAGTTCAGTTCTAGTTCAGTTCTAGTTCAGTTCTAGTTCAGTTCTAGTTCAGTTCTAGTTCAGTTCTAGTTCAGTTCTAGTTCAGTTCTAGTTCAGTTCTAGTTCAGTTCTAGTTCAGTTCTAGTTCAGTTCTAGTTCAGTTCTAGTTCAGTTCTAGTTCAGTTCTAGTTCAGTTCTAGTTCAGTTCTAGTTCAGTTCTAGTTCAGTTCTAGTTCAGTTCTAGTTCAGTTCTAGTTCAGTTCTAGTTCAGTTCTAGTTCAGTTCTAGTTCTAGTTCAGTTCTAGTTCAGTTCTAGTTCAGTTCTAGTTCAGTTCTAGTTCAGTTCTAGTTCAGTTCTAGTTCAGTTCTAGTTCAGTTCTAGTTCAGTTCTAGTTCAGTTCTAGTTCAATTCTAGTTCAGTTCTAGTTCAGTTCTAGTTCAGTTCTAGTTCAGTTCTAGTTCAGTTCTAGTTCAGTTCTAGTTCAGTTCTAGTTCAGTTCTAGTTCAATTCTAGTTCAGTTCTAGTTCAGTTCTAGTTCAGTTCTAGTTCAGTTCTAGTTCAGTTCTAGTTCAGTTCTAGTTCAGTTCTAGTTCAGTTCTAGTTCAATTCTAGTTCAGTTCTAGTTCAGTTCTAGTTCAATTCTAGTTCAGTTCTAGTTCAGTTCTAGTTCAGTTCTAGTTCAGTTCTAGTTCAGTTCTAGTTCAATTCTAGTTCAGTTCTAGTTCAGTTCTAGTTCAGTTCTAGTTCAGTTCTAGTTCAGTTCTAGTTCTAGTTCAGTTCTAGTTCAGTTCTATTTCAGTTCTAGTTCAGTTCTAGTTCAGTTCTAGTTCAGTTCTAGTTCAGTTCTAGTTCAGTTCTAGTTCAGTTCTAGTTCAGTTCTAGTTCAGTTCTAGTTCAGTTCTAGTTCAGTTCTAGTTCAGTTCTAGTTCAGTTCTAGTTCAGTTCTAGTTCAGTTCTAGTTCAGTTCTAGTTCAATTCTAGTTCAGTTCTAGTTCAGTTCTAGTTCAGTTCTAGTTCAGTTCTAGTTCAGTTCTAGTTCAGTTCTAGTTCAGTTCTAGTTCAGTTCTAGTTCAGTTCTAGTTCAGTTCTAGTTCAGTTCTAGTTTAGTTCTACTTCAGTTCTAGTTCAGTTCTAGTTCAGTTCCACTGATTGGGAACTTTTGCCTCCCTCGTCTTATAATCCAGAACTTTCATCGTTCAGTTCTAATTCAGTTCCAGTTATTGGGAGGTTTTGCCTCACTCGTCTTATAATCCAGACCTTGCATCGTATGTTCGTGAGCAGAATCCATACGTTGCCGGAAAGAAGGGAAAAGATCATATGAATGTTAAAAAAATAATTAATGACAATTAAAGACTATACTGTATACTTACTAGACTAAATACTCTATAGTCAAGACAATGTGGAGGCCTTAAAGTCTTTATATTTTATCCTGTTAATTTCTCTTAAATTTTATTTAATGCATATAATTTCATTTGAATTAGCGAATCGCCCCGGTTACGTTAGTAATTAGTTATACATTTTTATTTGTTTAATATCCCTTCTTTTCCCACAAACAACCATTCTTTAGAAACGGTTATATTTCAATTTATTTTAAATAAATATTGACAACATTATCTGCATACGGACAAACTCATTACCAGCGAGTTTTTTCTTTGTAGACAAAGACAATTTCTGTCTAAGAAACTAAAAAAAAAAAATACTTTAGAAGAATGAGGAACAAAAATATTGAAATAGCTAATGACAAAACTTGTTTCAAAGCAAAACATACATCTATTTTTTTGCCAGCGACAAACAGTACAGACCTATTACTCTCATTTTGCAAGTTGAACAGAGTAGACTGGTTCTTGACCTAGTCCCAAGAGCATGCATATTAAATTGATTACATACTATATGTATTTTCTTTCCTAGCTATCTTTCATTCCTCCTCATTCGTTGATACTTTCACACGGTTTATTTTTAAGCAATCTTAACAAAAAAAAAAAAAATCATGTATGTAGATGAGATTTAAAAAATAAAATGAAGAAAACTATTAATAATTTTTTATTTTTATAATTTTTTAACAAGCATCAAACTAAACTAGTAAGAAAAAAAAATAAAAACAATTTTCCTTTTTCTTTTTTTTTTTTGTTTTAATTACAGGAGCTTCAAAAGAGATTGGTACTGCTTTAACCAGAGTATGTTTAAGACACAAGGCGGTTGAAACACGCCTTAAACATTTACAGCTGCTATAATGGACTGTCTGGTACAACCATTACAAGTGAGTTAAAATTTTTTTTTTTTTTTTTGTTTACACAAATCTACAAAGACTTTCTTCTTCTTTGTCAGGTCTCCTTATTGATGTTTATTTTTTTAAAAAATTTTCCCCTTTGATGTGCAAGATTTTCATTAACCTGTTTCTTTATTTTTATCTTGCGACAAATTTCTAGGATAAATTAGAAGACTGGAAACGTTCTGTCGCTACTATAGATAAGGAACATGCCAAAGAATATAAACGTTGTCGTACTGAATTGAAAAAACGTTCGACAGATACGTTACGTTTACAGAAGAAAGCCCGCAAAGGACAATCTGATACATTGCAATCGTTAATGGATTCACACATGCAGGATGTCACACTAAGACGTGCTGAACTGGAGGAGGTGGAGAAGAAATCCTTAAGATCAGCCATGATTGAGGAACGTATGCGTTATTGCAGTTTTGTTCATATGCTGCAGCCAGTAGTGAAGGAAGAATGTGAGGTTATGTCGGAATTGGGTCATTTACAAGTAAGTTTGTTTTTTTGTTAGTAAATATAAACAAGTCAGAAAGTATAGTCGGTCATGGCCTATCTTATGATGCCCTACTAGTCTTTAGTCTAGTCTATAGATTAATCTATAGTCTAGCCTATAGACTAAACTATAGAATAGACTAAAGACTAAGTCTATTCTATTGTTTAGTCTATAGTCTATTCTATAGTCTAGCCTATAGTATAGTCTATTCTATAGTCTAGCCTATAGTATAGTCTATAGTCTAGTCTATAGTCTAGTCTATAGTCTAGTCCATAGTCTAGTCTATAGTCTAGTCTATAGTCTAGTCTATAGTCTAGTCTAGTATATAGTCTAGTCTATAGTCTAGTCTATAGTCTAGTCTATAGTCTAGTCTATAGTCTAGTCTATAGTCTAGTCTATAGTCTAGTCTATAGTCTAGTCTATAGTCTAGTCTATAGTCTAGTCTATAGTCTAGTCTATAGTCTAGTCTATAGTCTAGTCTATAGTCTAGTCTATAGTCTAGTCTATAGTCTAGTCTATAGTCTAGTCTATAGTCTAGTCTATAGTCTAGTCTATAGTCTAGTCTATAGTCTAGTCTATAGTCTAGTCTATAGTCTAGTCTATAGTCTAGTCTATAGTCTAGTCTATAGTCTAGTCTATAGTCTAGTCTATAGTCTAGTCTATAGTCTAGTCTATAGTCTAGTCTATAGTCTAGTCTATAGTCTAGTCTATAGTCTAGTCTATAGTCTAGTCTATAGTCTAGTCTATAGTCTAGTCTATAGTCTAGTCTATAGTCTAGTCTATAGTCTAGTCTATAGTCTAGTCTATAGTCTAGTCTATAGTCTAGTCTATAGTCTAGTCTATAGTCTAGTCTATAGTCTAGTCTATAGTCTAGTCTATAGTCTAGTCTATAGTCTAGTCTATAGTCTAGTCTATAGTCTAGTCTATAGTCTAGTCTAGTCTAGTCTATAGTCTAGTCTATAGTCTAGTCTATAGTCTAGTCTATAGACTAGTCTATAGTCTAGTCTATAGTCTAGTCTATAGTCTAGTCCATAGTTTAGTCTATAGTCTAGTCTATAGTCTAGTCTATAGTATAGTCTATAGTCTAGTCTATAGTCTAGTCTAGTCTATAGTCTAGTCTAGTCTATAGTCTAGTCCATAGTTTAGTCTATAGTCTAGTCTATAGTCTAGTCTATAGTCTAGTCTATAGTCTAGTCTAGTCTATAGTCTAGTCTAGTCTATAGTCTAGTCTATAGTCTAGTCTATAGTCTAGTCTATAGTCTAGTCTATAGTCTAGTCTATAGTCTAGTCTATAATCTAGTCTATAGTCTAGTCTATAGTCTAGTCTATAGTCTAGTCTATAGTCTAGTCTATAGTCTAGTCTATAGTCTAGTCTATAGTCTAGTCTATAGTCTAGTCTATAGTCTAGTCTATAGTCTAGTCTATAGTCTAGTCTAGTCTATAGTCTAGTCTAGTCTAGTCTAGTCTATAGTCTAGTCTAGTCTATAGTCTAGTCTAGTCTATAGTCTAGTCTAGTCCATAGTCTAGTCTAGTCTAGTCTATAGTCTAGTCTATAGTCTAGTCTATAGTCTAGTCTATAGTCTAGTCTATAGTCTAGTCTATAGTCTAGTCTATAGTCTAGTCTATAGTCTAGTCTATAGTCTAGTCTAGTCTATAGTCTATAGTCTAGTCTAGTATATAGTCTAGTCTATAGTCTAGTCTATAGTCTAGTCTATAGTCTAGTCTATAGTCTAGTCTATAGTCTAGTCTATAGTCTAGTCTATAGTCTAGTCTATAGTCTAGTCTATAGTCTAGTCTATAGTCTAGTCTATAGTCTAGTCTATAGTCTAGTCTATAGTCTAGTCTATAGTCTAGTCTATAGTCTAGTCTATAGTCTAGTCTATAGTCTAGTCTATGGTCTAGTCTATAGTCTAGTCTATAGTCTAGTCTATGGTCTAGTCTATAGTCTAGTCTATAGTCTAGTCTATAGTCTAGTCTATAGTCTAGTCTATAGTCTAGTCTATAGTCTAGTCTATAGTCTAGTCTATGGTCTAGTCTATAGTCTAGTCTATAGTCTAGTCTATAGTCTAGTCTATAGTCTAGTCTATAGTCTAGTCTATAGTCTAGTCTATAGTCTAGTCTATAGTCTAGTCTATAGTCTAGTCTATAGACTACTCTATAGTCTAGCCTATAGTCTAGTCTATAGTCTAGTGTAAAGTCTAGTCTATAGTCTAGTCTATAGTCTAGTCTATAGTCTAGTCTATAGTCTAGTCTATAGTCTAGTCTATAGTCTAGTCTATAGTCTAGTCTATAGTCTAGTCTATAGTCTAGTCTATAGTCTAGTCTATAGTCTAGTCTATAGTCTAGTCTATAGTCTAGTCTATAGTCTAGTCTATAGTCTAGTCTATAGTCTAGTCTATAGTCTAGTCTATAGTCTAGCCTATAGTCTAGTCTATAGTCTAGTCTATAGTCTAGTCGATAGTCTAGTCTAAAGTCTAGTATATAGTCTAGTCTATAGTCTAGTTTATAGTCTAGTCTATAGTCTAGTCTATAGTCTAGTCTATAGTCTAGTCTATAGTCTAGTCTATAGTCTAGTCTATAGTCTAGTCTATAGTCTTGTCTATAGTCTAGTCTATATTCTAGTCTATAGTCTAGTCTATATTCTAGTCTATAGTCTAGTCTATAGTCTAGTCTATATGTACTCTAATAGTGTAGGGTTTAAGAATTTATTTTAAATTGAAAACTTTCTTTGCAGGAGGCCATGCAATCGATTGCTTTGGTTACCAAGGAACCTCAAGTTTTACCAGCTGCCAGTGAGGAATTGATACATGATGCTAAAGCTTCTATAACTTTATATCCCGAATCACCAAGTGCCAGTGCTGGTGGAGGCGGTTCTCTATCCCAGGGTGGTTGTTCAAATTCCTTGGGTTCGCGCAAGTCATCAGTGTGTTCTATAAGTTCTATGAATAGCAGTGGTTCTAGCAATTCTCCTGGACATCCTCATTATCCTAGATCTTTGTCACAGGTAATCAAAAATTATATATTAATATATGTTTTGTTTTTTTTTCCATAAGTTTGTAATATGCTTTTGTTGTTGTTTTATTTTGATTTATTTTTTGTTTGTTTTTTATGTTTTGTTGTTGTGTTTTTCTATTTTTTAGTTAATTTCGCCTTCTATACGCTTAAAGCCCGGCGAATCCAGTGATAGTGGCTTTTGCTCTTCACCAGCTTTAACCACACAGGTTGTTTATTATATTTTTTTTTAATTTATTCAAATTTATTTGCTTGTTTTCTAACTCTCTTGCTTTTTCATCTTTATTTAACTCTCTTTTGAACCTTAATGCAAAATTTCTAAACTTGTACACATCTTCTTTTAGGCTTCTTCTATCAATAATCCTTCGCACGCTGTTACCACTTGGCCAACACATTCCCAAGACACCGTTGATTTACCATCTAACGCCTCCGAGCGTCCACACACTATTTCTTCAGCCTATGAAAAAGGTCATCAAAGGCCTCCTTTAACTGTTTACACCTTTCAAAATCCCGAAACTATACACGAAGGTGGTGGTGGCAGTAACAATGCTGCTGCTATTAATAATGGTACAGGTGGCACTTCATCGGGTCAAAACACCCCCTCGACCCAAAAGTCACCAGCTGGTGCTTTTAGACCACCTTTACCAGTGGTAAGTGTTATTATTTTTTTTAAGTTTCTTTGCTGTTCTCTTAAACACACTGTTTTTCTGTTAATTGCTTTTTACTTAAACAAATTTATTGTTGAAATAAAATAAATGTTAATATTAAAGAAACCAGCTCATGTGGTAAGTTTGTTTCTTCTAATACAACCCTGGTTTCGCTAATAGTCTAATAGTAATATCCTTATCAAAATTTTTTCATAATTAATAACTTTCATCTTGTGTATATAAACATTTTATTCACAATTTACTTATTGAAAATTCCAGAATTGTTTTAAATATTGTTGGACTATAGAACAATCTATAGTATAAACTGTTGTCTAGACTTTAATTTGAATTATAGTGTAGGCTTTAGTCTATTGTTTGCCCGAAAGTGTGGACTGAAGTCTGTTCTATAGTGTATCTGTAGTCTAGTCAATAGTCTTTTCTATATTCAAGTTTATAGTCTAGTGTCTATAGTCTAGCCTATAGTCTAGTCTATAGTCTAGCCTATAGTCTAGTCTATAGTCTAGTCTATAGTCCAGTCTATAGTCTAGTCTAGTCTATAGTCTAGTCTATAGTCTAGTCTAGTCTATAGTCTAGTCTATAGTCTAGTCTATAGTCTAGTCTAGTCTATAGTCTAGTCTAGTCTAGTCTATAGTCTAGTCTATAGTCTAGTCTATAGTCTAGTCTATAGTCTAGTCTATAGTCTAGTCTATAGTCTAGTCTATAGTCTAGTCTATAGTCTAGTCTATAGTCTAGTCTATAGTCTAGTCTATAGTCTAGTCTATAGTCTAGTCTATAGTCTAGTCTATAGTCTAGTCTATAGTCTAGTCTATAGTCTAGTCTATAGTCTAGTCTATAGTCTAGTCTATAGTCTAGTCTATAGTCTAGTCTATAGTCTAGTCTATAGTCTAGTCTATAGTCTAGTCTATAGTCTAGTCTATAGTCTAGTCTATAGTCTAGTCTATAGTCTAGTCTATAGTCTAGTCTATAGTCTAGTCTATAGTCTAGTCTATAGTCTAGTCTATAGTCTAGTCTATAGTCTAGTCTATAGTCTAGTCTATAGTCTAGTCTATAGTCTAGTCTATAGTCTAGTCTATAGTCTAGTCTATAGTCTAGTCTATAGTCTAGTCTATAGTCTAGTCTATAGTCTAGTCTATAGTCTAGTCTATAGTCTAGTCTATAGTCTAGTCTATAGGCTAGTCTATAGTCTAGTCTATAGTCTAGTCTATAGTCTAGTCTATAGTCTAGTCTATAGTCTAGTCTATAGTCTAGTCTGTAGTCTAGTCTATAGTCTAGTCTGTAGTCTAGTCTACAGTCTAGTCTATAGTCTAGTCTATAGTCTAGTCTGTAGTCTAGTCTATAGTCTAGTCTATAGTCTAGTCTATAGTCTAGTCTATAGTCTAGTCTATAGTCTAGTCTATAGTCTAGTCTATAGTCTAGTCTGTAGTCTAGTCTATAGTGTAGTCTATAGTCTAGTCTATAGTCTAGTCTATAGTCTAGTCTATAGTCTAGTCTATAGTCTAGTCTATAGTCTAGTCTATAGTCTAGTCTATAGTATAGTCTATAGTCTAGTCTATAGTCTAGTCTATAGTCTAGTCTATAGTCTAGTCTATAGTCTAGTCTATAGTCTAGTCTATAGTCTAGTCTATAGTCTAGTCTATAGTCTAGTCTATAGTCTAGTCTATAGTCTAGTCTATAGTCTAGTCTATAGTCTAGTCTATAGTCTAGTCTATAGTCTAGTCTAAGTCGTCTATAGTCTAGTCTATAGTCTAGTCTATAGTCTAGTCTATAGTCTAGTCTATAGTCTAGTCTATAGTCTAGTCTATAGTCTAGTCTATAGTCTAGTCTATAGTCTAGTCTATAGTCTAGTCTATAGTCTAGTCTATAGTCTAGTCTATAGTCTAGTCTATAGTCTAGTCTATAGTCTAGTCTATAGTCTAGTCTATAGTCTAGTCTATAGTCTAGTCTATAGTGTAGTCTAGTCTAGTCTATAGTCTAGTCTATAGTCTAGTCTATAGTCTAGTCTATTGTCTAGTCTATAGTCTAGTCTATAGTCTAGTCTAGTCTATAGTCTAGTCTAGTCTATAGTCTAGTCTGTAGTCTAGTCTATAGTCTAGTCTATAGTCTAGTCTATTGTCTAGTCTATAGTCTAGTCTATAGTCTAGTCTATAGTCTAGTCTATAGTCTAGTCTGTAGTCTAGTCTGTAGTCTAGTATATAGTCTAGTCTATAGTCTAGTCTATAGTCTAGTCTATAGTCTAGTCTGTAGTCTAGTCTATAGTCTAGTCTATAGTCTAGTCTATAGTCTAGTCTATAGTCTAGTCTATAGTCTAGTCTGTAGTCTAGTCTATAGTATAGTCTATAGTCTAGTCTATAGTCTAGTCTATAGTCTAGTCTATAGTCTAGTCTATAGTCTAGTCTATAGTCTAGTCTAGTCTATAGTCTAGTCTGTAGTCTAGTCTATAGTCTAGTCTATAGTCTAGTCTATTGTCTAGTCTATAGTCTAGTCTATAGTCTAGTCTATAGTCTAGTCTATAGTCTAGTCTGTAGTCTAGTCTGTAGTCTAGTATATAGTCTAGTCTATAGTCTAGTCTATAGTCTAGTCTATAGTCTAGTCTATAGTCTAGTCTATAGTCTAGTCTATAGTCTAGTCTATAGTCTAGTCTATAGTCTAGTCTATAGTCTAGTCTATAGTCTAGTCTATAGTCTAGTCTATAGTCTAGTCTATAGTCTAGTCTATAGTCTAGTCTATAGTCTAGTCTATAGTCTAGTCTATAGTCTAGTCTATAGTCTAGTCTAGTCAGTCATAGTCTAGTCTATAGTCTAGTCTATAGTCTAGTCTATAGTCTAGTCTATAGTCTAGTCTATAGTCTAGTCTATAGTCTAGTCTATAGTCTAGTCTATAGTCTAGTCTATAGTCTAGTCGATAGTCTAGTCTATAGTCTAGTCTATAGTCTAGTCTATAGTCTAGTCTATAGTCTAGTCTATAGTTTAGTCTATAGTCTAGTCTATAGCCTAGTACATAGGCCAATCTATAGTATATTTTATAGTTCAATCTATAGTCCACTGTATTTTTTTAACTTAAATAAACTTTTAACAAAATCTCTTCATTTCATGTAACTTCCTCTATGATATCAATCAATATTTTTAATCCTACTTCGCAAACAATTTGAGTTTGTAAATTCTTTCCCTTTTTTTAAAATCTAAAATCCCAATAATAGTATTCTCATGCCATATATATTTTTATATTTCAGCGATGTTCATCATTAGAAAGACCTCTATCGGCCAATAATAGTCGCGGTAATGGCACAAATTTAATGCAACGTCAATGTCCATCACCAATACCAGCTCATGTCACTAAAGGTATGTTTATTTGTCCATTTTTGTATTCACTAATACAAATAATCTCACAGGCTTAGATCATTTTTAAATACATTAATTTTAATCATTCCTTTTTTTATAAATACACATTTCTAATATATTGTAAT